TTAACGAATTTTGTTGAGTTATCGAATTGTAGTGTTCTTGAAATTCATCGAACTATCGATATGTATCAAATCATTGAAATTTATCGATAAACTTGAATGTATCGGGTCAATTCCAAGTCCTGCCGAAGTTCTCCAAAGACCTTCTCAGATAAAAAAAAATTTAGTTACGTTTTAGCAGAAGATTTTCCGGTTAGTTAATTTGGACCGTATAAGTTTTGCTACGTGTTAAGTTAGAAAACTTCTCCAAGGCTTCTAAAATTAGAAAAACTGTCGAATTTCGACAGTAACTGGCACTCTAGTATATATTAAATACTTAGCAGTTAACTATGTGAACATGTTAACGCACTTTTCTAGCGGTGGAGCATATACATATATTTCTGACATACAATTTCTGACGCATATTTCTGACTGTAGAGCATATACATATACATATATGTTTACGAGTTTCTGTAGTATATAAGCATAATATGAATTTCTGGCGGTGGAGCATATACGGATTTATGAAAAAATATTAGCTATAACTATCTATAGATATACATATCTATATAGATGTACAAATACGCCACAAGAAAATTTTGCAATCCCGTTTTTGAAGGCACCGTTCGCTCGATTTCAATGAAACATACACCGATTTAAAGGATATAACTCCTCTAATCCAGAAATGTTAATTCCGATATATAGGGGGCGTGGCGTCTGACATATAGACTAAAATGTGAAAACCACTATATCTCAAAACGAATTATGCTGTTGAACTGAAACTTAGCGCGGTTGCATAGATTGTAAATACCCTACTTACGGTGAAAAATTGTAGGTACACTGAGGTGAAAAAATATTAAAACCAAATAAAAACGTAGTTGATCTTACTATAAACGTCAACGAAAGTACTGTATAATGGTAAATATTCAATTCAATTACGCGCATATTAAAATGACCGCGTTCCTTTTGAAAAAGCATCCGTGAAGTGAATAATCAAGACAAAAACTAAAAAAAAAATATTTAACTTGCATGTTGCCTGCAGTGGAATTCGAACCCTGACCATCTCTGGATATCAACAAATTGTGGCATGCAT